ATTAGGGATAAAGGGACACTTATACATAATAAAGACAACTTACCGCAAGCCTATAGCCAACACCAAATTAAATAAAAAGAAACTCAAAGCAAGTCCACTAAAATCAGGAACAAGACAAGGCTGTCCACTCTCTCCATATCTATTCAATATAGGACTTGAATTGCAGCGAGAGCAGAAAGACAACTGAAGGAGGATAGGAGAATACAAACTGAAAAGGAAGAAGTCAAAGTACCGTTATTTGTAGATGATATCCACTGCAGAAATCCTACAGCTGATAAACACTTTCAGCAAAGTGGCTAGATTCAAGATTAACTAAAAAAAAAAAAAATAGCCCTTGTATATACAAAAGACAGACTGAGGAAAAAAAAATCAGGAAAAACAACACCCTTCACAATAGCCTCAAGTAATATAAAATATCTTGAGATAACTCTAACTAAGCAAGTGAAAGACTTGTATGATAAAAACTTCAAGTCTCTGAAGAAAGAAATTGAAGAAGATATGGAAAGATCTCCCATGATCATGGATCAGGATTAACATAGTAAAAATGGCCATCCTACCAAAAACAATCTGCAGATTCAGTGTAACTCCCATCAAAATCCCAACACAATTCTTTACAGACCTTGAAGGGACAATTCTCAACTCCATATGGAAAAACAAAAATCTCAGGATAGCTAAGATAACCCTGAACAATAAAAGAACTGCTGGAGGTATCACCATCCCTGGTTTCAAGTTGTACTAAAGAACTATAGTAATAAAAACTTCATGGTATTGGCATAAAAACAGACACACTGATCAATAGAATAGAACTGAAGACCCAGACATAAACTCACACACATATAGACACCTGTTTTGTTTTGTTTTGTTTTTTATAAAGAAGCCAGAAAGACACACTGGAAAAATAAAAGCATCTTCAACAAATGGTGCTGGTCAAAACGGATGTCTGCATGTAAAAAGAAAACAAATAGATCCATATTTATCACCCCACACAAAACACAAGTCCAAGAAGAATAAAGACCTCAACATAAAAACAGACACACTGAACCAGAGAGAAGAGAAAGTGACAAACAGTCTTGAAAGTGTTTGTAGCAAGCTTTCTTGTTGGACTATCTTTGGGTCTCCAGACCCTTAAAAATGACATGGAGACTTCTTATTAATTATGAAAACTTGGCCTTTAGCTTAGGCTTGTCCCCAACTAGCTCTTATAACTCAAATTAACCTGCTTCTCTTAACCTATGCTGCCATGTGGCCTTTACTTTTCCTCAGTATGGTATGCCCCACTTGCTCCAAGTGTACTGGTGAAATCCCCAAGCCTAGACTCTTCTCCCAGTTCCTCTCTCTGCCCAGAAGTCCTGCCTATCCTTTCATGCCTAGCTATTGGCTGTTCAGCTTTTTATTAAACCAATCAGAAGGCACCTTAGGCAGAGACACATCTTTACAGTGTACTAAAAGATTATACCACAACAAGCATTGACAGAGGAGACAACTTCCTGAACAGAACACCAACAGAACAGGCACTAAAATCAACAATTAATAAATGGAACTTTATCAACTGATGGTGTCCTTACACTCTTCAGTTTCATTAGGCAGAGAACAACATCAGACAAAGAGGCAACATGGGAAAAGATTTTTACCAACTCCACATCTGAGAGGGGTCTAATATCCAAAATATATGAAGAATTCAAGAAATTTGGTATTAAAAAACAAATAATCCAATTAAAAATGGGGTACAAATCTAAATCTCAATAGAGGAATCTCAAATGGCTGAAAAACACTTAAATGTTAAACATGCTTGGCCATCATGAAAATGCAAATCAAAACTACTTTGAGATTCTATTTTACACCTGTCCGAGTAACCAAGATCAACAACACAAGTGACAGCTCATGCTGGTGAGGATGTGAAGCAAGGGGAACACTCCTCCTTTACTGGTGAGAGTGCAAACTTGTACAGTCATTATAGAAATCAATATAGCAGTTCCTCAGAAAATTGGTAAGCAATCTACCATAAGACCCAGCTATGCTACTCTTGGGTAGGGACGTGCCATCCTACCACAAGAATATTTTCCCAACTATGTTCATTGTGAATTTATTCATAATAACCAGAAATTGTGCTATAGGCAAGATATGCTGGGGCAATGGTGACTCAGAAATCGTGGATGTGGCCAACCAACGTTTGGTTTAACTTCAGACCAAGCCATGAGAGGAAGCCCACACACTACACTGCCTGGATGGCCAGGAACCAGAAATTGGACAGCCCAGAGGCCTAGGATAGAACCAAACATAACTGGGAAAAAAAATCAATAAAATTATTCCTAATGATATTCTGCTATACTCATAGATCAGTGTCTTGTCTACTCATCATCAGAGAGGCTTCCTTCAGCAGCAAATGGGAGCAGATGCAGAGACCTACAGCCAGACATTATATAGACAGAGTCTAAACTGGAGGTCTCCATTGGGTCCCTCCCCTCAGAGATCTGGGAACCCCACAAGAGGAGGAGAAAAGACTGTAGGAGTCAGAGGGGATGGAGGACACCAGAACATGGCCCAATGAATCCACTAAACAAGGCTCACATGGGTTCACAGAGACTGAAATGGCAAGTACAGGACCCATATGGGTCTGCACCAGGTCCTCTGCATATATATCATGGCTGTTAGCTTGGTGTTTTTGTGGAACCCCTAACAGTAGGAGCGGGTGTGTCTCTGACTCTTTTCCCTGCTCTTGGGACTCTTTTCCTCCTGTTGAGTTGCCTTGTCCAGAGGCCTTTGGCCTTGTCTTATTATATTGTGTTTTGTCCTGTTTGGCTGTTGTCTCTTGGAGGTCTGCTCTTTTCTGAAAAAGGGGAGTAGATCTGGGGAAGAGGGGGGCCAAACTGGAAGGAGTGGAGGGAGGGAAAACTGTGATCAGAATGTATTGTATGAGAGAAGACTCTATTTTCAATAAAAATAAAAAATAAAAATAAATTAAAAAACTAAAAAGAAACCAAAAACTATTATAAACTTGGGTTTTTACATCAATTACTAAATTCACTTTTCTTAATCAAATGTAAAATTTCTCTTGGTAGTCAAGTCTATAATGTCCTAATTCCACAAGTTGTAGAATTCTCTCAACAAGGGAAAGGCTATGAGGAGAATAGGAAAAATGCATAATCTATACACTTTACCACTGGGTTTTTAATGAGCAAATCATGAAAACTACATTATCATGCATCAGTGTAAATAATGAAAAAAAGAGGCTATACTGAAGCCACTGGCCTCTGGGGTTCCCAGCTCAATCCAGGAAGAAGAAGTTCCAGGTCACTGGAACCTGTCTCCAGCCAAAATATGTCTCTCATAGTTTTTCAATATTGTTAGATAATTTTATGCTGTGCTGTATTCTCTGTAACAGTAGGATAGGGCAAATTAACATAACAACGTGCAGAAATGTCAAAAGGCCTACTAGTATGATGGTACCAAGTTTTGTAAGACTCAAAAAGTAACTTACTGCTGGGGCTTTAAGAATTCACACTGTCCAGGAAGACCTAAGTCATCCCGTTTATTTCCTAGGGAACCAAGATCACCGTGCAGCACAGAACGAGTCTGAAGCTGTTGTTTTGTTCTGCTTTTCAAGCTTTCCAAGGTTTCTAGTCCACTGAAGTTCATTTCAAGGGTTGCTTGAGAAAAGGAGGGTTGCGCTCTGCACCACACCTGTGTGATGGGGGTCAGTTTTCACGCTGGTCCTTATAGACACAGATGTTCAGAGTGCCTGAAGTCATCAGCACTCTTCCTTGGTGACACTGACATCAGGGTTCGTGTCACATGTTTGCAAACTGTGCTGCACCAAAAGGAGAAGCCTTTTCAGGTGTTTTCATGAGATAAGAAAACAACTACAGAAGGGGCCTTTGCAAAAGATCCCTAAGGTCGTATAAGACCCCTAAGGTCATATAAGACCCCTAAGGTCATATAAGACCCCTAAGGTCTGTTGTCTCATAAAGAATAATCTAAACTTCTGCATAATTGATGCCTGCAAATAAATCACATACATAACCACCTTAAAGAACAAATAATGCCTAATCAATTTTAATTACAATAAAAACAATACAATAACCTTAATAACCTAATAAATATATAAATACACATATTTTGTTCTAAAAAGCAGAAGGTCTATAAAAAAGAAATTGTTCAATTTTATATATTGTAACAATTAGAAATCAATTTTATTTAGAACAATTTCACATAAAACCATTTTTAATAACCAGTTTTTACCATTTTTATGACTGTATTTCCTATACTTAAGGCTCTATATTTGGCCAGGCAGCAGTGGCACACACCTTTAATCCCAGCACTCAGGAGGCAGAGGCAAGCGGATCTCTGTGAGTTTGAGGCCAACCTAGTATACAGAGCAAGATCCAGGACAGCAGGTACCAAAACTACAAAGAAAAACCCTGTCTTGAAAAAACAAGAAAAAAACAAAAACAAAAACAGAAAAGAAAAGAAAGACTCTATATTTGGTAGCCTTACAAATATGTAGTAACAAGAACAGTGAAAATACTTAAGATTTATTCAAAAAGCTACTTCTTCCTATACCAATGGCACTAAAACCACAAGGCAAGAAACCATTGTTTTGAGGAGTTTATAAATGCTCTAAAAAAAAATTGACAAAAATCTGTTTGTAAAATATAACTTTGTTTAATACAAATATATTTCTACTCAAATATTCTCATATATGTACATATGTACTGTAAATAATGGATACTTGATTATTTTTATCATGTACTAGTACTAGGAATTGTTCTAACTGTCCCATTTACATTATTTCTCACAGTAACTGTGACTGTTGTGTGCGCAGGGGCCAAGGCACAATAAGATAGGATGGATTCCTCAGAGCCACACAGTTGGTCAAAGACAGAACTGAGATTCAAACCCAGAGAGACTGATGCCTACATGATTTCTAATCTGCTACACTACATGACATATAAACAAGTCCCTGACAGTCAGTAGGTACTATTTATTTCTTCTGTACTTACTCGGTGATAATTCTGGATTTCCCTTCAGGTTCATCATCTTTGGAATGGAAGGGCCATACACATCTACATCTAACAAGCCAACCGTCTTGGACTGCAAGAAAACCAAATTCACCATAAGATTATTCATAACGTTCACAGGACAAAAAAGTTTACACAGCAATAAGCCTATTAAAAAGAAAACATAAAATATTCCAAAATCATAAACAACAGAAAGTAAAAGCATAAACTACCTAAGACACTTGTTAAATTAGTGTTGTATTTCAATAACCAACTTGTTCAGGTCTCCTGTACAGTCTCAAGAAAATTAAGACCTTTTTGGTCTAAACATGATTTTGGAGAAGAAGTAAAACACAAACAGAATTGGAATGATTAGGAAAGCCTAATGAAACCCCAGACAATGGATCACTGACTTCTGGAAGGCCCTAAAATGAAAAGCAGACCATGGAGACCAGATTCTATTATAGGAAGTAAGGAATTCGGCTGCACATCTGGCAAGAGAGAGGGCCGTGTCAACAAGGCCACTGGCAGACATAACACAGGCCCCTCACACACAAACCACAGCTAAGTCCACTGGCCTGCCTTCTGGAAGACTAGGAAAGAGCCAACTACTGTTTCCTATGATGCCTGCTCCAGCCGAGAAGGGCAGAAGAGCCTATGAGTCTCTGCCAGGTAAGAGTTAATCAGCAACTTCGTCAAGGAATGGAAAACAAAACTTGCTGCTTGTAAAGACGTTGTCTTTCCCTCCACCTCCAAATCCGTCTTTGCTGTTTTTTCCCATGCACATAACATGCTAATACTAACTGGACCTCACTGAGTCGTCTTACAGCTTTCCTCCCACCACCCCAAACCCCAGCAAAAGAACACTCACAATCTCTCCATATCAAGAAAATTCAAGAAACTGAAACAACCCTAAGTCTTCCATGATGCCTGTTTCCAGACATACAGTTACTTTTCAACCCCCATCAGCTGGTTCTGTAAATATCTAAAACAAGATAAATTCAACATTTACACTCCTAATCTTACACTGACTCAATTCACAGTTCTAAGAAAACTACTTAGTCCCTTTGTGACTTGGTCTCCTGGGTGTGAAGAGAGATTGATGTCTGTCTGTATAGAAATCCCAGCAGAGCCAGGCGCTGGTGGCCCACGCCTTTAATCCCAGCACTCAGGAGGCAGCGGCAGGCAGATCTCTGCGAGTTCGAGGCCAGCCTGGGATACAGAGTGAGTTCCAGGAAAGGTGCAAAGCTACACAGAGAAACCCTGTCTCGAAAAAACCAAAAAAAAAAGAAAAAAAAAGAAAAGAAAAGAAAAAGAAAGGGAGGGAGGGAGGGAGGGAGGGAGGGAGGGAGGAAGGAAGGAAGGAAGGAAGGAAGGAAGGAAGGAAGGAAGGAAGGAAGAAAGAAAGAGAGAAAGAAAGAGAGAAAGAGAGAAAGAGAGAAAGAGAGAAAGAGAGAAAAAGAGAGAAAGAAAGAGAAAGAAACCCCAGCCTAATCTAAAATAAGAATGCAAAAAGAGTATTTTGCTTTTAATAAGATGATTATGTATAAAATTTAGTTTTAATGCACTGAGGTCAGGGCTGTAAAAGGGGAACATTCCTGAGAAATTCTGCTACCTTTATCCTCAGGAGAACTTAGTAGGGCTACAATGGAATTAAATTTACTGTGAATGATTTCAAGAGGGGCCATTAACACAAATATCTAAGCTTCTTCTGATACTATCTCATTGTAGGATTATTTCTGTGAAAACATCAAGAACTAAAAAAGCACTACAAAATAATAAATCTCAAAAAATGTAAGATTGTTTATCCTATATTAATGTTGGTTTTACAGTAACTTGAAGAAATGAGGTTCCAAATTCAAAGTGATCTAATTATTCTTTTCAAGTAAAATAACTCAGCCTCTGAAATTAGTGTTCTAGCCAAACAAAAACATAACTGTATAAACTGAGGACGTGACCACTCCAAGAAATGAATGAACAGGTTTTTATTGTAGGTATGGGGGGAGGGCAACACCAGAGGCTTCTGAAAGAGTCCAGAGCAGAGAAAGGAGAACACGGACCATGACCAGCAGACTAGCCATGGCCATGAAAGAAGAGGGTCTCTGAAATGTGTAACAGGGACTTGTGATACTAAGGAAGCCTGGAGGCAAGCGTGTGCTTTGGTTTACCAGCAGGCACCACAGAGAGACATTTGTCCCTTCTGCCAGTGATAGGGGACTGGTTCCTTTGGTAGAGGGGAACCAGCTTCACGAACTCCAGAGGAAGCCGGGCTTTTGTCTAACTTGCAGAATTTGGACCTGACAATAACCAAGGGTCCTAACTAAGACTGCAGCACCAATATCATCATTGCTAGATTTTTAAGTTCCCTTCAAAGTGTGGGAATCCATCTTCTATCTGATCTTCCAGGAGAAAACCAGGCCTTCAAGAACCCTTAGTACAAGAAACAGATCAAGATTTGCTGTCCCATTTGCTGCAGTAAGAACAGACATCACATACATGACGAAGATGGCGAACATGCATTGGCACACAAAAAGTAAGAGGGAGAGCATGATCACAAGGTTTAGACTTTACATTCCTCTCTTAATCCTTGCAGCAATACCAAGGTGTGTCATCCCTACTATGGTAAGAAGAAAGGAGATTAACACCACAGTAACCATGTTTTGTCTTATTTAGTTGTTCCGTGATTTCTGTCTTAGGATGAAGCAGAATCATACACAAGGCAAACCTCATCTATCGCCACCAGAATCTTAGCACAATCTAATTACAAAAGACTTAAACAGTGACACATCTTTTTCTCAGCAAGTTGCATTTATGCATATTTGTGTATATGTGTGTGTGTGTGTGTGTGTGTGTGTGTGTGTGTGTGTGTGTGTGTCACAGAAAAAGGCTACCAACTTGGGAAAGAGGAGCTGGAAGGGGTTGAGGGAGGGAGGCTGGGTAGGGCTGGAGGGAGAGAAGGGAAGACAGAAAGTAATGTAATTCTGTTGTAATTCAAAATACATTATTACAAGAAAGATATTGACCAATTTTTATTTATTTCTTGAGATTATAATATCACCTTAAAGAGTCACCTCAAAAATATTTTAATCCTTGTGGTTCATATGTGGTTCCTCAATGTTCCCTGGGCCTAAGCTGTGGGACTATTTTGCAGATGTACCCATTGGGACTGGAATCCACAACTCTACATTTTCTACACTGGTTTTCTATACTGGCCTCCATTTTTTGAAAAGAGTGTTTTCTTGATGAGGGATGAAGATTCACCTACCTGTGTGTATAAGGATAAAAGTTTATAGATTGTGCTGGTTTATTAAATTAGTGGCTGTTGATTCTTCTCCAATAACCATGACTTCATTAGCACTGACTAGTTAGCCAGGTTTCCAGTACCAGGCAGGGCACACCTCTTGTTGAGCAGGTTTGAAGTCCAGCTGGAAAGCTGTTGGTTACTGCCAAGGTATGTGTGCCACTACTGCATCTGTGAGACTATGGCGCCATGCTGGTTGCTGATGTGGTGCATAGGCATCAAAGCTGGGTAGGACTGTTGGTTCCCTCCCTCATTTGGAAGCTTGCATGGCATCTTCTGATGCCATGAAAGCTAGTCCTCAGGGAGGGAACATTCAGGTCAGTTCCAGCTCAGGGCCTCTGGGTCATTTCTGAAGGGGGTAATGTCTTCAGCAATAGGGACTTACCTTCCACCTCTGGGGAGAGGCAAGGGCAAGAGCAATAGGCTGTATGTTAGGGGAGTCTCTTGGACAATCCTGACCAACAACTCAAAAGGGGGGTTCTCTTGTCTAGGACTGGAGTTTTTGTTAGGTGGTCTTCCGCTCTTAGAGCAAGGCCATCAGCCCAGATAAGAAAAGTTCATTAAAACTATATATGTATATTTATACATGGAATTGTGTGTGCATTATTGGGTTTTTTAAAGGCAAATAATTAATAATATTATTCCTTGTTGCTTTTTCAGGTATCTTTATTGTTATTTTACCCACCTCCCTCATCCTGTATTTTTCTTATTTTCTCTTTTTCATTAATTGTTGTTATATACATACACACACACATACATATGTATATATTCCTAAATACATAAATACAACCTGCTCAGTCTGTATAATGTTACTTGTATGTGTGTTTTCAGGGATGACCATTGGTATTGAATAACCAATTAGTGTGCTCTTCCCTAGGGCAGATATTTTCTCCCAGTCTCTGCTTTCCTTAGTTGCCTGTAGTTCTTTGAGTAGGGCTGAGGCCGTCTGGTCTTCCTCCACTCCATCTACACACACATGTCTACTGTTACTGCTGAGCTCATGCATAGGCAGGCATATTCCTGAGACTTTATGGGTGTAGCTTCTGGCATTTCTAGAAGATAAAACCTCACAACACAACTCTGTATTTTGATTGGTTGTGGTTCCCTATAATGGTCTCTATCTGTGGAAAGAGAAGTTTCCTTGAAGAGGAGTGAAGACTATACTTATATGTTGATATCAAGACAAATATTTAGATCATAGTTAGGAATTCTGCTGGGTTAGTAAAGTGGATTTGTAAGTTCTCCTCCGAGATCCATAAATTCACTAGACCTCTGTAGCTGGCTAGATTCAAGCACCAGGCATGGCTTCCCTGCAGCTGAGTGGGCGGTAGGTACAGTTAGAGGGCTGCTGGTTACTGTCAAGGTGTGCATGCCACCGCATACCCTTAGGGTCCTTGTGCCGTGCTGGTCACTGACGCGGTTCATGGGCATCACAGCTGTGGAGGACTGTTGGTTGCTTCCCTCCTTTAGAACTTGGAATAGCGCCTTCTGATACCAAGAATGCTAGGCCACAGGGAAGAGGCTCTCCGGTCAGCTCCAGCTCAGGGGCCTCTGTGCCCTAGGGTCTGGAGAGCATGGTGTCTGCAGCACGAGGGGCCTACACTCCACCTCTGAGGGGCAATGGTAATAATGTTTTGGGAGTCTCTTCAACAACCATGATCACCAACTCAAAAGAAGGCCTCTCCTGCCTGGAGAACAGCTCTGTTAATGTCAAAGGAGCTATCTCAGAAAAGATCGACTTCCTCATCCTTAACTGGCTGATTGTTCTGAACAATAAAGACCATAGTTTTCAG